CTGCCCAGTTCGCCTGGCGAAGCCTGGCGAAGGCTCACCCCCCTTCATTCGCCCAGTGAATACCTGCGTACTCAGAAAAATAAGCTCTGCTGCTCAGAAATCAGCAGCTCTCCCACTCTCCAATTTCCATCGAGACAACACTAAAATCATCGGCTTAAGGTTCTACAACCTAGCTACAACATCCAAACTCAGTTTTACCCGATAAACTCTCAACTCTGTTCAATTATCCAACTTCCGACGTAAACTTTCGAATTACCCGGAAACCCGAAAATCATCAAACAATCACTCTATAGCACATGCAATGAACTCAAACAACATAAACACAATCATCACAGAATTATAAACATGCAATCAACATCAATCCATCATCAACCAATGGGGATTAGGGAATTTCCCCTTTCTACCACATATTCATGTTCATACCCATTTAACCGATCAATTCCCCCTACCTCAATTGCGATTTTGATGATGATGAACCTTCACAAATCCACAGCCTTCATGTCTTCCTTGCCAAGCTTGCTCACTTGATCGCTATTGCTCCTTCACCGTGATCGTGCGTGTTCTTTCTCCTTGTTCGTTCTTCCTCTTTCTCTTTTTTCCAAATTCCACCTTTCCCCTCAATACCCCCAAAATCACCTTATTCCAAATAATATATAATTCTCATAATTATTTAATTCCAAAAATCCAATTAATAATAATAATAAACTTATTTTTCTTTTAATTTCCAACCCTTCCAATAATATTTTTAAATATGACAACAATAATAATAATATCAATAATAATAATAGTATTAACACTATTAATCATCATATTATTATTATTATTATCAATCATAGTTTTCTAATATTATGGAACTTTATTCCTCAACAAAAAATCCACGCAAGCACGCCGAGAATGAAAATAACACCGAAATATAAAAATAATTAAAATAGGCGTTACACATGACACATGACTAGAAGGAAAGATTGGTTTGTAAACATGAAGCCCTAGACGAAGAACATGGTGAAATTTGTAAATGACAATACTCTAGCACCTAAATGTATTGGTGATGTTCTAAATATGAAGAAAGATGACAAGAGGTCAACAAATTCCAATGTGTTGTATATATCAGGCATGAAGAGTAATTTGCTCAGTATAGGGGTAGCTAGTCGAAAAGAACTACAAGGTGTCGATCAAAGATAAGACGATGAGAGTCCTCGGCGCAGGTGGTAGGTTGATCTTGAAGACTTCAATGTCTCATAATAGGACCTTTAAGATTGAACTCAATGTTATGGAGCACAAGTGCCTAGAAACTGCAACCAACACAGAAGACTGGTTATGGAATTTTCGACTAGACCATCTCAACTTCATTGACATCAAAGAGCTAAAGAGAACAAATATGGCTTCAAGATTACCTAAAATTGACATTCCAAGTGAAGGCTTTAAAGAGTGTGTTCATTCGAAGGCAATTCAGGAAAAAAGTCGAAGGCAATTCAGGAAGTCATATACTCTTATGTATGTGGTCTAATCCAAGTGGATTCAATTGCTGGCAACAAATACTTTGTCACATTCAAAGATGATTACAGTCGAAAGTTGAAGACTTACCTTACCAAGAAGAAAAGTGATGTGATCGAGGTATTTTCCATATTCAAATCTATGGTCGAGAGACAAAGTGGTCGAAAGCTGAAAATTCTGAGGACTGATGATGGTGGAGAGTATGTGTCGAAAGAATTCGATGTATTATGTGAAAAAGAAGGGGTTGTGTATGAGGTGGTGCCACCTTACACTCCACATCAAAATGGAATTGTAGAAAGAAATAGTAGAACCATCATGAACATGGTGAGAAGTTTATTGAATGAAAAGCATCTACCCAAAAAATTATGAGGAGAAACGGTTTTGACAGCAACATACATATTAAACAGATGTCCAACGAAGAAGCTTGAAGGAATCACACCAAAAAAATTTTGGTCTGGTGTCAAGCCTAGCCTCAGTCACTTTAAGATTTTGGATCTATAGCACATAGACATGTGTCAGATCAATTGAGAAGGAAGCTTGATGAAAAGTCAAATATGATAATCTTGATAGGATATCATTTGACTAGAGATCACAACGAAGAGTCATTGAGTAATTATCATGAAAATCGACAGCATGTCAGCTATTAACTTGGCGAAGAATCCAATAGCACATGGTGGAAGCAAACACATCAAAATAAGATTTCATTATCTTCGAGAACAGGTAGCAAAAGGAAAAATAAACTTAGAATATTGCAGAACTGATAATCAACTTGCATACATCATGACGAAGGGAGTATCAGTCTAAGTGTTCAAGAAGTTAAGGTCTATGATGAATGTATATAGTTTAGACGCAATGAATTAGGTGGTGTGTTAAATATATAATTCATTATTTTAGAAATATTTGACTTGATTTAGAAAGATCGGGTTTAATTTAGAAAGATTATATTAGATATTTTTGCGCTTTTATAGGTTGCGCTTTAACTTGAGATGCAAGTTAACCTAAGCTATAAATAGGGAGGAATCCGTTTCATTATAATAATCAAATTTGATAATCATAGTTTTGCAGTTGTAAAGTGATAATAAAAATTTCACGTTTGTAGGCAGAGATTTACTCTGCAGTCCATACTCATCTTCTTTAAACGTATTTTTGTTTTTATTAATCATCATTACATAACAATCTTAAGATCAAGATTGAGAAAAATTCACCATAGTTTGTGGTTGAATTCCAACACCTCAAACTTTAAATGTTTTAAAATTACCACTTGATATTATTTAATTTTTCTCTTTATTTTATTTGTTTTTAAATTTTACTTGCTAACAACTTTTTGAAGAAGAATCAAAATATTCTCACTTAACTAAACAATTACAGCCACTTCTATGATTATCTCAAATTAATCATAGATAAATCTATTTTTAAAAAAACTATTCTAAATAATATCCTCATATTTAATTAACTTATTTTCTCTTTTAAATTTTCATGTGTTAAAAAAAATTGTTGGGCAATAATGATAATTATTTATCACTTTTAACTGAATCTTCAAAAACATCTATTTTCACTATTTTTATCTCTAAAAGTCATTGAATCTCTTAAAATACCTATCACATTATACATTTTGTTTAATTTTACATTTTTACATCTTTCGGTTATTTGAAATGTTGAATCAAGCAATTCGAATGCGTATGAAATCGGAAACTAGCCGTTCCTTTTTTTTATTTTTTAATTTAGAAACTAGCCGTTCAACGGCTACTTATTTTTTTATTTTACTTTTTGTTAACTTATTTTTTATTATAAATATAATTTTGGTTTCCAAAATTTACCAACACAAATTTCTCTCACTTTTATTTTCTCTTCAATTTGAAATTTCACTCTCACAATTTCATCATTTTATTCCTATACTTTTAATTTTTTTTTCAACAATTTTTTCTCATTAACATTTTTTTTACAAAAAATTTAACTCAAAATTTCATCTTTTTACTTCAAATTACAATTGTTTAGGCCAAATGGATCCTAATCATTTTCATTATCAACAAGCTTTTTTCAATTACATGCAAAATTATCAAAATCATAATTCTCAAAATTCTCAAATTCCACCGGTGCCAACAAACCCCACCATATTTCTTCTGTCACCAAACAATCCAAATATGTATTCTATACCTCAAATGAATTCTAATAGTATAGAATTTTCTACTCAAGTTCCACCATTTTCTACTCAAGTCCCACAATTTTCTACTCAAGTTGGTACTGAAAAAGAAGAAAGGGTTGTCGTTAAAAAAAGATCTCGAGAGCAATTTACAAGGGAATAGGATATACTACTTATCCAATCATGGCTTAATGTTTCAAAGGATCCAATTGTGGAAGTTGATCAAAAGGCTGAGAGTTTTTGGTTAAGAATTGTTGCTAGTTATAACCAATATCGTGGACAATTGCGGGAAAAGTTAGGGGGACAGTTAAAATGTCGATGGCATAGAATAAATGGCATGGTTCAAAAATTTGTTGGGTGTTACAAAATTGCTCTTAAAGGAAAGAAAAGTTGGACATCCGAGACCGATGTCATGGCAGATGCACATGCTATTTTTGCTTAGGATCAAGGTACAACATTCAATCTTAAGTATGCATGGCGATTGTTAAAAGATGAAGCTAAATGGCGCATCGTCGAAGAATCGATTGGAAGTTCTGCAAAAATAACAAAGGCTTATACTAGTGGGGCATCATTGAAGAACCCAGATACAACTTCAAGTTATGAGTTTAACTAATCATCACCAATGGAGCGTCCAATGGGACAAAAAGCAGCAAAAAGAAAGGGTAAGGCATCAGAAATTCCAAATGCAACGCAAGATGTAAAGAAAAAAAGAGCAATAACAATGGACAGACTTGCACAAGCTAAGGAGGACGAGCTAGAATTAAGGTAGTGAAAATGATGATGAAAGACACTTCTAATATGAACGATAGTCAACGAGATATTCATGAAAAATATTGTAATAAGATGAAAAAAAATATGGAATGTAGTTAGTATCACTTATGTAAAATGGTCATTAGTACCACTTTAATTTATCAACATCTATGTAAAATAGTCATTAGTACCACTTTAATTTAAACTAGCCGTTATTCAAACTACCACATTAATTTAAACTAGTTGTTATTCAAACTACCACTTTAATTTAAACTAGCTGTTATTCAAACCATTATATATACTACCAGTTATGTCATTGTTCTCTCATTCTCATCTTATTCTTCTCATTTTTCTCTCATTCTTTACTCACTAAATGGATTCAGACAATTCAGATAATTATGATCAAGAATTTTAGGAGTTGGTTGAAGAAGAATTTATGGACGACAGTGATGAAGAACAACAACTTCAGAATGAACGCCGATCTGGAAGTTCCTCTAGGCCAAAGAGAAGAACGACGGTAGATCGAGGTCATGAAGAAGGACACAGTTGATTATTTAATGACTATTTCTCAAAAAACCCAGTATACACAGATGTTCAATTCTGAAGAAGGTGCAGAATGCATAGGCATGTATTTCTTCGAATTGTAGATGCCCTTGGAAATCATGATGAATATTTCCAAATGAGGGTCGATGCAACTGATAAAATGGGTCTTTCACCATTGCAGAAATGTACATCTGCTATTCGTATGCTGGCGTATGGGTCTCCTGCTGACCTTGTAGACGAATATGTTCGAATCGGTGAAAGCACTTCAATTGAGTGCTTAGAAAGATTTGTTAAGGGTGTCAATGTTGTATTTGGCACTGAGTATTTGAGAATGCCTAACAACACTGATGTTGAACATCTTTTACAAATGGAAAAATTGTCCTGTTGCATGGAAAGGACAATTTTTCCGAGGTGATCATGGTAAGCCCACAATCATGCTTGAAGGAGTGGCATCACAAGACTTATGGATTTGACATTTTTTTTTTTTGGTATTGCAGGTTCAAACAATGACATTAATGTGCTAAACCAATTCAACGTGTTTAACGATATTTTAGAAGGACGTGCTCCCAATGTGCAATATACAATCAATGAGACACCGTATAATATGAGATATTATTTAGCATATGGTATATATCCCGAGTGGGCTACATTTCCCTAGACTATTTTAATGCCACAGGGAGAAAAAAATTATTTGCTCAACATCAAGAATCGGCTAGAAAAGATGTGGAGCGAGCATTTGGAGTACTTCAATCTCGATTTGCAATTATACGTGGCTCAACGCGTGCCTGGCACATGGAGACTCTCAAGCATACCATATATGCCTGCATCATATTGCACAACATGATTGTGGAAGACGAACGACATACATATGGAGGTAATTTTGATTACTCTTATGATAATGTGGATATCAATAACTCAACAACTGAAACATTTAGCGGTCTTCATCCGAATTTTGCAACAAGACTACAAAGAAGAGCAAGTATTCAAGAAAAACAAATTTATCGTAAACTTCAAGGAGATCTAGTCGAATATATTTGGAAACGTTTTGGACATAAAGATGATGAAATTTAAATTTAATTAATTATGTGATGTTATTTATTTTTATTATTTTTAATTATATATCATGTATGAGATTAATTTTAATTATCATATTAAATTATAAGTTTAATTTAATTTTTTTTATTTTATATCAAATTTAATTTAAAACACTAGAATTATTATTTTAATTAATATAATACTTAATATGAATAAAATATTAATATATAAAATAAAGCGATTCAATCTCTAAATTCTTCAGAGTTGCACCATTAAAGTAAAAAAATAGTAATACTTCAGTGACTTAATAAACCCTTTTATAATTTTGAAAATTATTCTTTTTTACATTGATGTTTTCTGTCTATCACAATTTTGGAACAACTTCAGTTTTTTTGAGTGAACTACTTAGAATATGTATATTTTGTTTTGGCGGAATTTGGTATTTTCTTACGTACATAAACAATTATTTGCATTGTGTCACTCATTTGCAAATATGGTACAGTAATATTTTAAATGGTTAATAATTAAGACAAGTGATATTAAAAACTTAAAATGACTTTGATAAACAAAAATGTTTTAAAAAAAGAGAAATTTATAATTTCTTCCGTGTGCAGCCCAATATTTTGCCGCAATCACAGACAAAAAGCATTTAGAACAGCTTTGTTCTTGATCACACAGTTTATAAAAATAAATTTATTTTTCATCTTATAATATAAATTTAAAACAGAACTGTCAGACTTGATCAGATGGTCAAGTGCAGATCTATAGAGTGCAGTATAAAACAAAATAAAAACACATTTTCGTTTATCTCAACAAACCTTCACATAGCACATAATTCCAAGTAAAAAACTTTTTCCTTGAAAGTAAGGAAAACACATTAGGAGTAAGGGTTTAAATTAAATTATAAAAAGCCAAAAGTCAATGCATTCGAAACTACATGCTAAATGAATTGCACTTGAGTTATATAAATTCATGAAAACGACTGAAAAACAAGTCAAAATTTCCCATTTTACATCCAATCCAATCTATTCAAATATCAAAGTAGGAATAGTTGTAATTGCCGATTGCTTTTTTTTGCAACAGCTGCCATCTTCCACCAAATTTACTTCATCTGGACAATTCCAGCACTGATAAGCTTTTGGATCTTGTCCATCACACCCGGGTTCTTGGTATGTTCCTGTGCAGCCTTGGGATTTTCCTGGAAGTCAACCAACACCTGCATGCAAACCCAATTCTTATATAAGCACTTTTTATTATGGTCAGAACACATTATAACCATTATGCATCCAAGAAAAAAAGTACTAAACCTGTCGCATAACAGGGTCTTGAAGGATATTCTGTATCTCTGGATCTGACATTGCCTTGGCCTGCAAGATAGCAATATATAAATATATGGAACATATTTAAATTATAATTTCTGATTGGTTAAGATTTCACTATATATAACAAACCTGTCTATCCTTCAACTCTTCAGGACTCAAATCTCCACGGCTGGCTCTGTTAATTTGTTGTACACACCTGAAATGGATATTACATGAGTAAACATACTTGCAGTCTAAAATAAGGAAACTTGAATTATTACACATTGCATGGACTTGACCAATATCACTCATACCTTCCAATGCCATCGAGCAACTCCTGGTTGTTGGCGTCATGTTTCAACCCCTCCTTATATGTTTCCAAAGCCTTTTCATATTCTTTCATGAAAAACTGAACTGCACCTTTCCTGGTATAACCCTTGGTGAAGGTTGGATCAAGCTCAATGCACTTCTCTGCATCCTTTAAACCTTCAGGCATTGCCCCCAGTTTAGTGTAACATGCAGCTCTGTTACTATAAGCCTGAAAGAAATGGAGTATTCAACATATTAGGAACCACACTAACATAGCCACAAGGAATGTCAATTGTATTCGAAGAATATTAGTACCCTGGGATCTTTTGGGTTTCTTCTTAGAGACTCGGTGTAATGCTTAATAGCTTCAGGATACTTCTGCTGCTTAAAGAATTCATTCCCTGCATATCAATGATAACAAAATCAACAAAAAAGATCAAGTCAAAATGATCTTAAGAGTTAGAGGTTCAAAAAAGAATGTTTTGCAGGAAATGAAGAACCTGGAAGATCAGACTAAAAGATAATACCTTTTTCCCGCTCCTCGTCGGCCAAATTAGGATCAAAGTATTCTTGTTGTTCTAATTCTTTCTTGGCCTTTTCAGCTTCATTAAGTCTCTTTAGGGTGTCTGGGTTGCGGTGCTCTGTAAGTGCTTTTTGAAATGTCTCAATGACAGGTTCATAATCTTTAGAGCATTTCGCCGTTTTGCCCATGGCAGTCCCCTTCCTTGTCAAAGCCCTTGCTACCATCTTGTAGTCTGATCGCAGTTCTCGTCCTCTTTCAACTGCCTTGTCGCAATCTTTTATGCAATCTTCATACTGAAAGGATTAAAGGTTAGAATGCAAACCACAGGGAAGAGTCCCTTCACTTGATTTTTTTTTTTTGAAAAAAAACTGAATTATAGCTCTTCTTAATCTTAATCAAACACCCAAATCACATGCAAATTGACCCAAATTCCTTAACCATGAAACATTTGAACAAGCTTTACCAACAAAACTGATGCAAAGTCAATGGCATTCTAAGTGTGAAAGTTGACCACAAACAACCTAATACCAATTTCAAGACTTAACTACTAATAAGTCACTAAAGCTTATAATTTTGAGGTCATCGAATAATCTGTTGGGCACAGCAAAGTTTTATGCACACATAGTTTATAACCATATAACCATATAAGAGCACAAAACCCCAATAATCTTGAAATTGATGGGAGAGTCGATTACTGTGGTTGGAGCCTTAAAGTGTTTAATACAATTTACTTATTGTGGTTTTGTCATGAACAGCTACACCAATAATTGGTTACCATTTTGATTATTATACCGAAGATGGCATACAAACAGGCAAGAGACTTTACAAGCTGCACTATGGATGTAAAGGCATATAGCCCCCAAGCACGGAGCCTCAGACTCAAAGATGAGAAGGCTCATAGGGAACTTGGTCAGTAGGGCACAACAACAAAAATAATTGGCCGCATCTATGTAATCAAAATGCCAACTTAGTAGATTAAAACAAACAAACAAAAAAGGTTCAATCACAGCCTTAGCAGATTAATAGTTCTAGTTAACGTTAAGATTGTGTTCCAATGCATACAACTAATTGTAATATGATATCTAATCTCTATACAAAATAAAAATTCTCACTTTACATTTTAAACACTACACCCCCAAGGGCCAGGACCAAAATGAAAACTTTGTTCTATAAGTCAAAAATATTGTATTTTCATGACAAAAGTACCTCTAACCAATGCAATTCCATTGGGCTATAATGGCAACAGGATAAATGTTGAATACAACTAATGGTATACAACAGGCTAGATTAACCACCAACACCCAAGGACCAAACTTTACAAGCTAAACTGAACGATGCATAAATAATAAATAATAGAAACAAACAGAAACCCAACACATGCATACATATATGCAAATACAAATATACTAAAAGAAAAAGTCATCCATACCTTTCCCATTTCCAAGTATACAGCAGCACGATTGGTGAGAAATGATATATCTTCATCATCCAATTCCAAAGCATTTGAATAATGGTGAATCGCAGTATCAAAATCCTTCTTTTTGTACGCTGCATTACCAGCCTCCTTTTCCTTCTGTGCCTCAGCCTTTCTCTGCTTAGCTTCCTTTTCCTCATCAGCCTCTTCCATGGGTTCAGGCTCTGGCTCCGGTTCAGGCTGCTTAGGAGGCTCGGCTTCAGCTGCCCTCTTCCTCTCAGAAGAAGAGGACGAAGGAGTATCAGGCATATCCACGTCATCACCAGGAGTTCCAAGCTTAACATTAAGCAAAACCCCAAAAGCTTGCATAACTCTTTGATCTTTCAAATACAGATTAAGATTATTCGGATTCTTCTGAATATCTTGCATCATCTTAACAAAATCAGGTTGTTGAAGAAAAACCCTAGTTGTAGGATCAGCCGTCAGCTTAGCCCACATCTCAGGACCACTGAAAGCATCTCCAAAGGGATTAGCCGGCGCAGAACGCGACCTAGCTGCAGCCGAAGCCGCGGCTTTCTCGGCATCGGCTAAACCTGATTTAAGCGGCTCGTTAGTAGGGTCAAAATCGAGACCTTTTTTGTAAGAAGCAATAGCGTCATCGTATTGAGATAAACCGAGATGAGCGGCTCCGAGACGGCTGTATCCTTTCACCCAGTTAGGCTTGAGTTGGACGGTTTTCTTGGCGTCGGCTAAAGCTTCGGTGTATTTCTGAAGAGAAGCGTAAGCTGCGGATCGGTTGGAATAGAGAACGTGATTGTCGGGGGCTAGACCGATGGCTTCGGTGAAGTGACGGATGGCGGTTGGGAAGTCGCCGGAAGAGAATGCGGCGTTGCCTTTGGCTTTGGCTTCTTCGGCCATAGATGGATCGGAGTTGAATCGAGAGGGTTTTTGGTCTTTTGTGAGAAAAATGAAGGAAGGAAAGAAAGGGTTTACTTTGTTTGGGTTTGGGAGAGAGAGAGAGAGAGAGAGTGGAGAAAGAGACGGAGAGAGTGGTTATAGATATAATTGGATGGTTTGGTTAACTAGAGAGTTCTACAAGGGCCTAGGGGGTTATGCTTCTCGAATGTTCTATCAATAAAGATTACTAGTATTATTATTTCGCAAATCAATCAAATATTCTATATTCTAATTTTAAATCAAATTTTAATTATGTAGTAAAAAAAACAAGTTTTAATTATAGATAATATATTAATACTCCATAAAAAAATATCAAATTTTAATCATGGAGTAAAAGATTATGATATTTAATCAGGATTTTTATAAAATATAAATATAAAAGAGTTTATCATACACTAACTAAATAATTGTATTTGAGTAATTATTATATGTAGCTTTATAAATATATATTGAAGATAAATTAAATTTCAAGAGTGATAGAGAGATAAGATCAATAGATTATATATATATATATATATATATATATATATATATATATATATATATATATATATATATATATATATATATATATATATATATATATATATATATATATATATATATATATATATATATATATATATATATATATATATATATATATATATATATATATATATATATATATATATATAAAAGAATATTTGAGATTATGTTAAATTTTAAGAATGAATAGAAATCATTGATGTAATTATAAATTAAATAGGATTTATATTAAAATTTATCAATTTGTTTGTATCTTAAAATTTTAAAGATTTTAGTGAATGAATAATATCTAAAATAATAATTTATTTATTTTATTTTATTTTTATTCAAATGAATAATTGATTGTTTGCCATTTACAATGAAATAATAATTGTACTAAAATATAATAAAAGAAAAAACTTTCAAAAATTTAATATTATATTAATTGTTGAATTAAAAATTGGAATGGTAGATAATTAATATCAATAATTAGTAAAAAAAATATAATTTCAAAAATTTTAATAGTCATCCATTTATAGATTTAAGATTTGGATTGATAGATAATAAGTGAATAGTGAGAAATTAAGATTTAATTTAATTTTTTTTAATGTGATAATAATTAAAAAGTTAAAATTTTGATCGGTAGATAACATCACTAATATTGTAGAATAGAGTTTTGATTTTTTGAAAAATTAGAACTTGGATTAATTAATAATAATAAATAGTAAGAAACTTATTTTAATTTTAATAAGTCACTAATCGTTAAATATTAATTGTTTAATAAGTCACAATTAAAAAGAAATAAAAAAATAAAACTTCATAACAATTAAAATAAAAATTAAATATTATCGATATGCATTAATTATATTGTAAAATAATAACCTCAAATATAATAAAATATTTTATTTATAGAAATAAAATATTTTTTATAACAAATAACAACATCAACTATTCCATATCACTAAACTACAAAAATAATTATTAGAATTTATACTAAAGAAAAAAATAAGAATTTATATTCAAAAGAAAGCATAAGTACTACTATTTTAGAATTGTTAAGAAAGAAGGAAAAAATAAATAAAAATATTTGAGTAAGCATATGTATTGCAATTTTTAAAATTGTGATGCTCCAAATAATTGTAAAAGATATATATTTTAATATTCATTTTAAGATTGTTGTTTGTAAGAGTTAGGGTCTATTAGAATCTTATTCAAATTGTAAAATTGGTCAAATAACAATTAAAAATTATATTGTACAATATGAATATATGATCAAAATAACATTTATGAAATGAATTTGAATAGGATCAAAACATCAAAACAATAAAATTAAAATTTATATAAAAAAATATGGACATGAAATTGATTTGAATAGGAGGTAAAAAAAATAAAATTTTCGGAGAGTTTTTGGATTAAATAAAGATTAAAAAAATCAATTCTCTTCTTAAATTGGTGTTGAATAGTTCACCAATCTCGTGCGCTCTGTCAGGTTATACTCTCCTTTTTTTAATTTTTAAATTTTCATTGAATTGGTCGTTTCATAAAACTCTTCTTTTTAAATATTATTTTTTACAATAATTAAAAAGAATATAATTAAATTTTGTTACTAATATTTGTACCAAAAAATATATTGTAACTAATATGCAATATAATGATAACATTAAAAATTAAAAAAAAAAAATTAAATACATTAATAATTACTATTGAAACACAATTTTCAATAAAATAAATCCAGTAAAAATAAAATTATTTATTACTTTTTTAAATTTTAAATTACTTCATCTCTCAAAAGTATTTATAAAACGGATATTACAAACATTATTGATAATAACAACGAAGAATACTATTTGTAAACTTTAAATAATATAATAATATTGTAAATAAAATTAAAATTTGTAATAAAAAATTAATAATTAATTAGATCAAAATTTTTCTTTTTAACATTCTCTCTTTTATTTTATCACTCCAAACTCTCTAATTTATTCACTAATAACACCTATTTACATTCATTTCTAAAATTTAATGATTTCATTAAAATACTCTTAAATATCTTATATTATTATCACACAAAAATCAGACAAGAATAAAAAGACTTTTTGATTACATATATTATTTTTATTAAAAAATTATAGGTATTCTTTAGTTGAGTTATACTTTAATAATATATATAATACTTAGTTTTAATTACTCATATTGTTATATGATTTTTATATTAAATAATTTTATAAAAATATTTTAAACAAAAGATAATGTTAACTTGAGCTTTAAGCGTACAAGTTAAGAAATAAATATAAAAAAATTATTTTGAAAATTGTACATTAATTTTAATAAAATTATGAAATTAATTTTTTGATTGCCTTTTTCAATAAAAAAAAATTAATTGTCCTTTTCAATAAAAAAATTTTATAAATAGGACACAAATTAACATTACTCTTAAATAAATTACCTTTCTTATTTTGAGTGAAAAATAACAAGTCATAAGATATTACATAATATATATATATATATATATATATATATATATATATATATATATATATATATATATATATATATATATATATATATATATATATATATATATATATATATATATATATATATATATATATATATATATATATATATATATATATATATATATATAATATTTAGTTTTAGTTACTCGCATTTTTATATAATGTTTATGTTACTTAATTTTTTAAAATTAATTGTAAATAAATTATCTTTTATTTTGAATGAAAAATGATACTCCATCCAATTTCTTTTATAAGTAAATTTTGACTTCTCAGATTTATTTAATAAATGATGTATTTGGACTATATCTATGTTAGATGCATGAATTACTTAATAAATATAAAATGTTAAAATTTGCTTATAAATAGGAATGGATAGAGTAGATCATAATCACAAATTTTGATGATATTTTTAATAACATAAACGATGGGGAACTCGAGGGAACGGGGACGGCCGAAGAAAATGGTGTTGTTGTCACCAAAAAAGCCTAGTAATCAGACGAAGCAGCTAGAGAATACCTAGGAAAACGACGTAACAAATAAGGAGCAACAATCACATGATACAAGAAATCAACCGACTAATGGAGATCACTCTGCGAATGGAGATCATGGTAAAACCCTAGATCCAACTGATGCAGAAGAATTGAAGGAGCAGAGAAAGTTGTGGGTTAATATGCTGAAACACAATCACAATCCAACCAAAGGCTTGTCGATGAAATATGTAGCCCCAACGGTTGTGGCTGGGGAGATTGAAATTGACATTGAAGATGAAGATGTTTAATCAAAGCTGAAATTTTGGGAAACTCTCTGATTATGTACGTGTTGGGAGGGGACCTTAGCATGAACACAGTGAAAAACTTTATAGAAAGAGTGTAGAACTTCATCAAACCTCCTGATATGTATTACCATGAAAAAGGATACTTCATCCTAAAATTTCACTCGCATAAGGATATGGATACGGTGATGATGAAGGATCCTTACACAATTCGTAATATGCTCATGTTACTGAGAGAATGACAACTTGGATTTAACCTAAATAATGACATGTTGCGCACCTCACCAATATGGATCGAACTCCCTAATTTGCCTCTTCATCTATGTGGGGGAAAAGTCTTAGCAAGATTGGTAGCACAATTGGAAATCCTGTTATTACTAATGAACGTACTGCATGCAAACTTTGAATATCATATGTTAGATTGCTAGTTAAAATGAACGTTACTCAAACATTGGCAAAGGAAATCATTATAAAGGATCAAAATGGTGTTAAACTGGCCCATCCCATTGAATATGAGTGGAAACTGAAATTTTGTGATCAATGTCAATATTTTGGCCACATATGTGAAGCTGCAAAACCAGTCAAAATATGACAGTCGAAGTAGAAACAGAAGGTTGTAACTCTCAAACCTGATGATGCAACAATGGCGACTATTAATTCAAATCTTAGTGATATAGAAGTGATTGTTACACCATCGGTTGAAGGCTTGAAGTCAAACACGCAAGGGACTGCTATTTATGATAACATAGAATGGACTACAATCACCAAGAATGGAGAGGAAAAAAACAAGGGCACTCCGAAGGAAAAGATATCGACAATTGTAAATTGTGTCAATGGCTTTCGTCCATTGGGAGATTGGAATGTCTCAAGAGTGTTTGTCGGTGGTGATTCATGCTAGATGCGTGAAATATGCGGGGGCTAAATAAATCTAGCAAGCTTAGGGAGATTCGCTCTTGTCTCCTAGACCTTCTTCCTAAAGTGATTGCTTTACTTGAAACTCGTGTCAAATTAAAAAGCGCACATTCTGTCTGAAATAATCTCAATCTTCAAGGTAGCTTTGCTGATAACTACCAAGACCATGCTAATGGAAGGGTTTAGTTGTATTTGAATTCAAATGAAATTAATCTTAAAGTCGTTAATTATTCCAGTCAATTCATTCATTG